CGCCGTATGCCGTGGGAATTCGGGGAGACCTACCCCCCGTTATTAATTCCATCAACCTTCCTTTCATTTCTTTCAAAGTGCTCTATCCAATTGTTTTCCACATTTTTTTGAAGTACTTTTGCTTCCTACAGGTTTTTCAAACCAACTCACCAACCTTATCGAGAAATTAAATCTAAATAACAGATTTTAATGCCGCATCAGTTCGATTGACTGGTTTTGTACACAACGGAGGCCAAAATTATACAGTAGGCAGCTGCAAATTTGAGCCCTATACCTTGGTGTGACTCGAGAGGAGAACTCAAAATTAACAGAAAAAGATAAAGGTTCAGTTATCGCTTAACTAAATAGAGAGCAAAATTTTTACCGAATGCAGAAATTTTTTACAATAATGAGGATAATGGTTGGTCTAATAAAAAGCGATTAAAAAATTGGCAGTTCAAGTGTTACGGTACTTAATATTCTCTTCATAGATGTATCTACCATTTGAGAGTACAAACGCTATGTTGGATGTATTGAATAATACCTCTGTTCGTGTGAACACACTAGAACCAATTGATTCACTAGGAAGTGGTGTCAACGACTTGAGGTTTGTGATCCATTCACCCACTTCTTGTCATTGAGTATAATGTATCTGTAGGGCCGTGTTTAGGACGATGCGGAGTCCATCAAAGAATGTGCCACGTTCGTCGTCGTTCCATGCCGGTTCGCCCTCTACGAGTCCACGAAATGAGCAACTCTCGCGACTTCTTCGAACATTCGAACGGGAAAAAATCCGTGACCGTGAAGCGGCCGATAGCCATATGGCTAGGCTCAAGGTGACGACCTTTGGGACTTGGCGTGTCACCTTGATGTCCTTTATCGAAATGAAGAGTTACAGGCGCGTATCCACGACCTGGAGCGAATCAACGATCAACAACAGATGACTGAGAGGGAGATACGCGACCGCCTACAAGAACTTCAACGCCGTAACGAGACATTGGTCAGTAAGTTCGGGTTGTAGTAATGAAAATGAGCAAGAAAGCGTCATTCGATACATTTGAAGTAAGAAAAGATCGAGGATGGTTGATCTCCACCTTTGCTTTGGAATACGCCTTTAACTCTCCGCCTGTAGAAAACTTCTGAAGGTTTTTAAGGGGGTGTACGAACTGCCTAAGTATAAGGCATCGCACAGGAGGTCCAAAGCAGATCGGGTCCCTAATTTTACACTGTCGATCAAGTAAGTAGCTACTAAGAGGTGGAAGAGGTGTACGGTAAGAGGGAGGTGGAACTCCTCCTCTATGACTAGGTAGCCTTGGCTGCTGTGATTTCTTTTTGCTATGGCTCATCGTTTGTGTTTGTTTTCTGTTCAGTTTTGCATTTTCATCAACTGAAACGCGCTCTTGAGATCCGATCTAAGTAAATAAATAAATGAGTAAACGATGCTTAAGGAATTTCATTGCAGAATGTCGAGTTGAAGAAATGCGAGAGAGAAAAAGAGCAGCTGAATCAAACTGTTGTCGAACTGCAGGCTCTGACAGATCGTTTGGTCAGTTCGCGGTCGTCATAGAAGTATTCAGCAGGAACATCAGGCAAATTCTAGTTTCAGACGTTAGAAAATCTCCGAAATGAACATCAAGCGAAAGATCAGAAGGAGCTGGCCGAACACCGAAAGAAACAGTACGATCAGCAAATATCCGCTCTAGAAGAGGTATGATGCAAGGTGTTTGGGATTTCTAATTCAATATTTAGCAACAGTCACAAACGGCTCGAGGGTAAAAGAGGTGAATTCGAGGAACATCTGATACATCCCTTGTTGCAGGCCCAAGGGTCAGGCAAGGGCAAGGCGGTCTAAGGAAGGGTCTGTGTAATAACTCTAGGGAGGATGCAACCGAAGAAGAAGGGTGGTGTAATACTTCTGAATTATGGAGCAGCCAGAGAGCTTAACATTGCCTCCCGATTCTTCCCAAATCTCGATTCCCCATTTGAACTTCTGCTGCTCTGCATCGTTCGCTGTTTATGTAATCTTTGCTTGAAAGTTAAGTCTTCCTCTTCACAGCGCGCGATCGGATGCGGCTAGGGCGGCACACCGTTTGACTAGAGGAGCCCACATAGGCTGATCGACATGGGAACCAAGATAGGTCCCAAATGAAGGCCCATAAAATCGATTCCTAATAAAAGCTGAATAGTACAATGAAAGTTATGCAAAATTCTGCTTCGTCCTATTGCGCAAAGATGCTGTGTACCCAACATCTATGAGCTCTGCTGGGTTGCAAGTGGTCATAGGTCCTATTGTAATACAAAATTAAATTTTCAACGGCGAAAGTAAAGTGTGGGGCACAACAGATAAACAATAACGACACATAAATAAATAGATGATTCAATGGAGAATAAATAAACAGATGATTTAATAGAGAACAGATTTGATTTTTCAATTATTTTTCAGTCGATTCGAGCGCTGACTGAACGATGTAACGCGTTAGCGGCAGACATCAAGGAGAAGGACAAGCAGCTGCGCGAGAAAACCAAAAGGATACAAGAAATCGAAGATCGAAACTCTCAATTGGTTTGTCCTGAGTTATCCACCTTGTTTTACTTGACTTTCAGATCTTATCGAAACTCGTATTAAGCAACCGGAAGCGTTGCTGGAAAAGATAATGAACGAATATCAGCTAAGACGAAAAGAAGAAGAAAAGCGAAAGGAAGCTAATGAGATTTTCAATAGAAAAATCACAAAATATCACGAACAGTTGGTGAGTATTGCATGGACACCACTCATGGTGACAAGTTTTGTTCTACAACTAGAGCTCTTATGTTTGTGTTGGCCTGAGCCATGTATGAGATGTGCTTTTGGTTGCGGGAACCCCCCTCAGTTTTTCATGTCTTGTTCGTCCAGTTGAGTAGAGCACTCCAAATCTAGTTCTCCGTTGTGCTGTTCATGTTTGTTGGGTTTGTCTGTGCTTGAAACAACTAATACTGACCGGTGTTTAACGCAAACCCTTAAGGGCATAAAGGAAGTTTTGAGTTCCTGGTTTACAGTTTACCCGATCATGTTGATGACATCAGAGCAATTGCGAAAGCCTCAGAAACTAAAATACAAGAAATATCAGCCAAGAAATAGTTTCGTTGCCGCACGAGGTCTCACCGCCCTGTCCGCCGAGTAATTAGGATCTTGGCGGGAGAGGTGATCATTGATGGATATTGGTTGTTGGTCCACAGAGAGCGAGCGATTCCTGGATCGTGTGCAGTTCGAGTTGTGAGGTTGCCGCTGAATTGGTCATGGGTTTTACGGAATTACTTCGAGTTTTCTGATTTAATGCGATTCTGACGAAATAGAAGGTTCCACAGACGTGTGATTGAGAAAGCGATGGCTCTGGTCATTCTGAATGCGGCGTGAGCTTCAAATTATTTTCGGGGATTTTTGTATCCTTCTGCGGTCTACAAACCGGTCTATGCATCCCGGGGTGGGCCGCATTCTATGCACTAACCTTTTTGTCTGTGTATGCTTGTAACAGTGAGTTTTGTTTGTTTTTTTCTGCATGTAGTGAAATGCATTGATAAACCCAATATAATTTACAACCTGACAAACTCTTCACGACTTCAGTAGATAAACTTGACTGGGATTCTGAAAAAATTGATTCTGAAAAGGTTCTAATATGAATAACCAGTCGAGATCAGTATTATGTTTGCAAGAATGCCAGTATTTTGGATTTGTCATTGAGTTTTCTTCACACGCGTTGTTTCCATTAACCATTATCGCTTCAGTTAGCGTCATTTCCTCGTCTGGAGGAACAACGCCGACGTCTTGAAACAGAAAAAGAACAGGCTGTAGAGGAAAGCGAGCAGTTACGTAGAGAGATCTCACGGCTCAGGGAGAAAACCTGCGCCGAATGCTGCATATGTCTAGCCACTAAGGTATGCTCGACAGTGAAATTATAGTTTAGCTCTGGGATTTTTCTTACCGTACATGGAGACAACAGAGTTTGGTACCTTCAATCCTGGCTCATTTCTTGGAGAGTGGTTTGGCACTTGCTATCTCATTAGCGCGGTGAAAATCACGAGCTGCTTCAAAAAATAACAGTGCAGGGTCTTCATTTCCCCTACGTATAGCAGTTCTGTTAGGATCCGTCGCACTGTAGAAGATGAAAGTCTCCTTCAGCTTTCAAAATTTCGGTTATATTAAACAATGATAGCAGCTCCAAAATCAACTTGCTCGGAATTACAGTTCAAAAATGGGTTTCTAGGGTAATACGGGGACGAAGCTTATTCTGAGATGTCAAATAGCTGATAGAATATTACTATCCGCTGATAGAATATTACTACCGGAAGGAATTTTGCCTCTCTCGATGCTTTTGACGTGGCGCAAGTTTTAGGAGTACGAAGGGGTCCTGTGATTTGTGCGTATTCAGCGAAGGTCTTATTCGTAAACCATCTGATACGAAAAAGGTGCTTTGTCCTTCTACATCAGTTTACAAATATAAAACAGGGTATGGTTTTTGCAGGGTGGGTGGGGAGAAGTCCGTTCCGCGCGTCCGTCAAAACAAGGTCACCCTGCCCATCTCGCGCGCGGCCCAGCCCACTGCGATCTCGAAATGACATTACAGTACCACATTAGTCAGTGGAGCGACTGATTTGCTCTAGTCCTTGTTATTAGGTCGTGATGAAAGTTCTTGCGTTTCTGCACCTCAAACTTCAAATGCACATATCTCGGCTTAAACAAAACTTCATTAATCCAAATAACAACCATTACTATCGATACACTTTTGTCAACGAGAAACAAGTTTCTTTATCCTATTCGCATAGAAGTCCAGAGATCTAGAGGAGACAAAATCGTTGAATGCAGCGGCAGCATCATGTTGGGTTTTGAAGCATTTCTCCTTAAGAAAGCCGTCGAGATGCTTAAAGAATTGGTAGTCTGTGGGGNGACGTGGGGCCGAGCGTTGTCGTGGAGTAGAATTGGCCCCTTCCTATTCACCAGTGCTGGGCTCATGAGCTGGAGTTTTCGATGCATTTCGTCAATTCTTGACAGTACTTCTCGGCTGTTACGGTTTCACCCGGATCCATGAAATTGTGGTGGATCAGCCCGGCAACAGACCACCAAACCAGCACCATGACCTTCATTCCATGCTGCTCCGGCTTGGGAAAAAGTCGTGGGGCTTCATCCTTACCCAGCCACTGGCCTGATCGTCGCCAGTTGTCGTACAGAATCTATTTCTCTTCACACGTCACCATACGGTCTAGAAATGGTTCGTTCCTGTTGCGCAGAAGCAAGGCGAGACGCGCTCGAAGCGGCGGTCTTTCTGGTGCTGAGTCAACTCATGCGGCACCCACTTATCAAGCTTCTTCGACTTCCCGATCTCCTGCAACCGTCTTGCTGGGAACATTCAATCTCGAGCCAATATCCTTCAGCATTGTACGTGGATTTTCTTCCACTAACGTACTCAATTCTTCGTTGTCAACGGCTGATGGCCGCCCACTACGCTCATCATCTTCCAGGCTCTCATCGCCGGTACGAAATTTTTAAACCATCACTGTGATGTACATTGATTCGTCGTACCCGGACCAAAGGCATCGTTGATATCCGGGCCGTTTCCGTCGCACTCTTGCCCAATTTGAATTGGAAAAGAAAAATCGTGCGGGACCGTCGTTTGTCCATGCTGATTTCGAACTTCTAAAAAATCCAGGAATCACTCCAGGACAAAACCGATTACATATTTGGATAGAACAAGAAATGCGCTTCAGAGTGGTATAAAACTTGCAAAAAATCTGATAGCAAAGAACAGCGCGGCGAGCATTTGAAAATTGAGCGCCAAAAAGCGCAAGAACTTTTTTCACGACCTAATATTTTCTCTTTAACTTGACTGCCATGGTCCAAGCGCAAACCGTATGCCCCACTGACTGCTGCGACGTCCGTCAAGTATCGCGGGTCGACGCGACGCGTGCAGCAGCTGCGGCGTGGCCTGGTTTTGGCGGATGCGCGAAACGAAGCGCACTCGGATGGGCGGTGCTGGCGTTGCTGGCGCCGAGCAATGTCAACTGACAGAGGAATGTTTCGATACCAGTAATATCAAGTGGTGCTTAAAATCCTTCTAGTTACGATACCATCTTCCCCGTGGATCCCTTTTTGTTGAATAGCTTTCTCTGATTTCACAAAAATATTTTCAGCCATGCGTACTGTTTCTGCCATGTCGTCATATGGTCATCTGTGATAACTGCCATGCTGAATCGACGATTACAGAATGCCCAACATGTCGTACACGAGTCGGTGATTCAATGAAAGTCTTTTCATAGGCAATCTACTCCCAATGATGGCAGTCGAACACCCTCACACAGTGCCCCCGTGTGGATGATTTTGCCTTATCTGGCTTACGTTCTGATGCTTTAATACGAAATTATTTATACGATGCCTGCCAAACCACATACATAATGTTGGCTTAAGAGGAAGATCTTACTGTTTGTGGCTCAATTCCTCACTACTCTCATAGATCTTTCAACAGCCGCTACAGATTCGCTAATATTGAAGCTCAATATGTTGAATAAAGTTCAAAAAACGCACTGTCAACAAACAGCTGTAAACAAGAATACTTTCTGATACGATCCAACCAATACTACTGAACTACAATATGACAACAGTGAAAAAGGCCAGCAATGATGCCGGTTCATTCTATAGGAATGGAATCACTGTAACCCTAGCAGTAAGAATATAACCGCTAATCCGGTCTGGAGGGGGGGGGGGGGGGGG